GAGATAATGGCAATTGCCCTGTTGCAACTCTTCCCTATAACTTTTCCACACACAGAAAAATTCTACCTGTGTTTTCTGAGTGGTCTCCCTCAATCAAAGAGAAAAGTTATCAGGCTGCAGTGTAGATCCTAGACTTTTGCAGTTTAACTCAGGAGAGTAAAAAGGCAAAACCAGCATAAGAAGCATCTACACTTTACTTCCAAGGTGACATGACCAAAAATGTCTCTGCAGTTCATTTGTTCCAAAGGACACGAAACTCCTGATGAATGGTAATGCATGTTTTCTGGTCTTAACACCAGCTGACGTACAAGTACAAAACAAAATCAACCAAAGAGTTATTTGCACGGCTCTTTGCTCTGTGCATTGTTGCCAGAATTATAAACTATCAGTTCCAAAGGAGTGACATTATATGACTTGCCCTTGGATGGCCTTTCCCTCCCTCTTTGATAACGGTCAGGAGGGTGGGTGGATGTTTTGGGATGAGTGAGTTTTTTGGTCATTTCCCTCATTGTCCCTGCTTATGCAGGGGGTTTGAAATTAAATGATCTGTAAGTTCCCTTCCAACCCAAACCATTCTATGATTCTGTATTTTCTGATGAATCCAAATGAAATTTGGGGTCAAGTGCAGGTATGCTTTACAGGATAAAATAACATTATTTGACCCACACATACTGAAATGCTAAACCAGAGCAGCTCGTAAGTTCCCTTTATTGTAGAGTTTAAAATAAAAGGCAGAGAGAACATTACGGAGGGGACCAAAATAGTCTGATTGGGCAATGCAGAGATAGCTACAGCCCTGGTCTATTTGTTGTGACAGAGGAGGTTGCAGCTGAATCGTGCTATGTGAGACGCACGCTGCATTGGTTGGAGCTCAGCTTGGAGCCCTCTCTCTGTACTTGCAACAGGCACAAGCACTTGTGAAATTAGCAAAATACTGTGACGACTGAAGATTTTTTTCTCCTGTTCTCCCATGCAGCTCTGAGGAGCCAGAAAAAGAGGGTGAATGAAGGGGCAACAGCAATTGGTAGAAGAGGATGAGCAGAGAGAAATGGGTGGTAGCTGCGTGGGCAGAGATATGTCAGTTAGCCAGGCAAAATAACACCAGTGGAAAGGGAGGGGATGGGATTAGCAGAAAGCATTTGTAACCTTCAGCAAGTCTCTCAACACTTTCCCACTCTACTGTAGTTAATTTTGCTGCTAGTCTGAGATGGTTTGTGTGCAGTGAATATGGCATATTTGCTCATGGCAAATAACTATGCTGGCTTGTGTCTGTGGAACTGACACTGTTGTAAACAGTCAGAAAAGAGGATCTTGATTCTGTCAACGTGTATAACCATTAGCATCTTAATGTATGCCCCTAACTTCCTTTGAACATAGATGCTTGTGTGTTTGATATGTCAGGGCTTATGCCTGGCTATGAATTCTGCAAAGAATTCATTGGAAGATGAAAAAATAAAACCAAGTAGCATTAGTTCCCTAAGAACACTCCAAAATAGAGCAGACTCTCCAGAAGCAAGTGCCTTAATGAGACCCTAAAATTAGTTCTTGTTTGTTCCAAAGTACGTAGTGTTTCACAGGCAGCTATCTGCTTTTTTTTTTTTTTTTTTTTTTTTCTATTTCTAATTTTCTTTAAACCACCATTTGAAGACTGAGAGGCAGAAAGTCCCCACCCATCAGAGAAAGTCTTGCAAGACTGAAAAGGGGAAGACCTATCTTGCAACCAGGGTGGTTTTCACAAGGGAAATACACAATGGTGAACAGGCAGAGTAACATTTTTTTATTGTAGGTTAAAACTTAGGTGAATTTGGATTTCATTTGCCCATGTGCACACTTTGCAAGTAAGTACCAGGGAAGGAAGGAGAACTACGTAAGACCCTGTACATATCAAGGCCTTACTTGAATACATTATCTGGATGTAACCAGGTGCCATACTCCCTCCAGAGCCCCCTGACAGTTCCCAAAATCAAGATGAGACCAGTGGAAACTGAAGCTACCCAGTACCCCAGGGGACCAGAGTCCTTAATTGTAAGACTAACTACAATGGACTGGAAATCAAGGCTATTGATACATCAATTAACCATTTCATTCAGATGACTACATATGGGAAGACAGAGAAAATATTGTTTAAGAGGGTAAGGAAAACATACTGAGCTATGGCCATAAGGAAGAACAATTTTTTTCAGTCACTTTGAGTTGAACTGATTGCTTCCCTTGGTGGCAATTGACCCTCATCAATGAAACATGGAGCTCCCTCAAGTCCTGCCTTCAGTCACTCACTGCCATTCCCCTCGCTGTCAGCAGAAGCAACCTTGTGACATCCCTGCCTTTTAGAAAACCTTGCAGGTGCCACTTCAGCAGGGTCATGGTGCCAGGTGAACTGATAAACTGCTGAGTATCATGCCCAGTTCCTCAAACAAAGGTGGGAAACCACCCTTTGTTTCCAGGGTGAGGTGCTTTGGTGTCAGCAATCTGACAGCAAAAGAATCAGCTTAATATGAAAGTGACCCCTTCCCCCACCCCCAAGAGACAAAATCTCCAAACACAAGGAAGGAGAAAATTTTCAGCAAGTGGCTCAGCTGAGACAAATGGTCAGATTGCAAGAAATAGCATTTTGCCACAAGCCAGGACTGCCCTTTAATCTCACCTGTAGCCTGCTGCCCTAGCCTTCTCCTCCAGGTGGATGAAGAGCACTGTATGTCCTGCCTGGGTAACTGTGGTGATGTCAAAGCTACAGTTGTCTAAGAATATAACGTATGCATGGGCTTTATATCTAATGTAAGTGTTGTAAAATATGTTTTATTAAGATAAGATCTGTGTCTAAGGTGGCTCACAAGTTAAACCACAGATCTGAGGAAATTCTATAGTCCAGGTAAACATTTGGAGAAAGGGCTTTACTCCTTTACTATGCAAGAGTAGAGCAGCATTGACTTAAAACAGCCCCACTGACATGCCTTTGTGCTTTGTTAGAAGTAGGGAGGACTCAAGCTATTTTGTTTCTTATGTTTGTATTTCAGCACTATCTTTTTTACTCATGTACCCTAGATTTAAAAAAAAACCTTATGTAGACCATGGCTGATAATGTGTGGCTTGCTATTTTAGCAGGATTTAGTACAACGAGCCCTTGAAAGAAACTGAGAAGCTCTCACCTGCTTCTTCTTCAATATGTTTTAGGAAGACAGTGCTTAAGTAAATAAGGTGGGTTTGAAGTGACAAAGAACCCCTGGTACAAGTGTACAAGTGTGCAGCAGTCAGGGAGTATTAGTATAACTGGCTGAGTAAGGAAAGATCTGTGGAGTTTCAAGAACAATCGTGGCAATGTATAGAAAATAGCACTTCACATGATAAATATTCTGTCTCCGTTAGAACCCTTGCAATTCCTCTTTGCCCACTTTCTAACAGCATAAAGGTCTGATCATTTTTCCATTAAAATCCATTGAATATTTCAATGCTTTTTGCACAGGGTGAGTGCCTTAGTACCTTTCAGTAGCATTTTTAAAATTATTATTACACAGAAAAAGTTCCCCTGATTGCCTTCAAGCTTTATTCTGATTTAATTGGTGGCTCTGAATATGGCCCTTCTGAGTGAAAGAACTGAAAAATTCCCCACCAAGTTGATCTTTGCTGGCCAGCCATGGCTTGCTCCCCTTCAGATGTTGACATAGTTCATTGTGTAATTTAACAATTCACAGAAGCTGATATTAATAAATACAAACTGGTAAGCTGTTCTGAAGTAGTATGGAGTGCTTGGATAACATTTAAAAATTATGTAAAGGGAGAACACATTCTGTCTGGCAATCTGAGGTGTCAAATATGCTACATACAACCAGATGGCTACACGAACTTGTCTGAAATTACAGAAGGCCACCACTTTCTTCTATGCCTATTAGAACCTGTCTGCAAGGTTTTGTGCTGTGTAGGATCTCTCACAGGGCTTGGCTGCAGAGTTTAGAAGGCAGTAAGCAGGTGACTAATCTGAACAGAACAACAGCATACTAAACTCTGGCTTTTCCAAGGCTTTTTAGCACTAGTTTTTTCTTTGGTTTTCTTTTCTTTTGTTTTAATATGCTTCAAGTTTTAATGCTTACTTCCCCCCTGCCCCCAACCACATTGCTCGTATTAAAAGTTTCAGTTCCTTTATTTTCTTAAGAACCTGTTACCTGTAATGTACATTCAGAAGTACTGTGCTGTGTATGGCTCCTTGTACACATCAGAAACCTTACCCATAGCTATTCCAGATAGTACCCACATGATCTTTGCTTTCTCAAACCTGTTCCACCATCAAAGAAGAACACCTGAACAATAGGGCCAAAAACACTGTTATGTGTTTGAGAATGCTTCAGAAAATTCCCAGTGAATCTATCAGCAACATGTTTTTTCAGCCTTGAAAATAAAAAATTGCAGTTTGAAACCACAAAAGCTCTTCTTGTGTGGATCCCTGAACCATTAATTTAATGATGTGAAACTGAGAGGGTTCGAAGCAGCTGAGCGACGTCTCATATGCCGGATGCGGGACTTGGGTTGGCTCTGTCCTCATCATCCCCCTGCAGCTGGGGTGGGGTGGCACTCAGAAATCCAGGTGGTTCCCTTCTAGCTCTCAGCTTTTCTAAAGAGGAATGGTGGCTTTTCAGCTGCCTGCACTCTCTCAAATAAGATATTTATGCTTGCATTCAGAAGCCTGAAAAAAATGTTGGTGCACAAAGGAGTTTTCCTCTTCTAAGGAACAATCTTTCCCAGTCACCTTTACCTAACACCCTGCTCATTCCAGGGATTGGCAGCAGCCAGGATAAGCAGACTCCTAATAGCAAGCATTATGCTAGAGCACTTTATTGTTTAATAGCATTAAGCTTTATCGTGTGAATGGGCTCCCAAATGCATATGGTTGCCTAGACCCTTCAGCAGTCCTTATGAATAACATGAGAATAAAGGCAGTTAATTGAGGGGAAATCCCCTCACACAAAGAAATCAGATTTCTGCTAAATTGCAAGTATGTGGATGGCAGTGCATGCTTCCCTAAGGCAAAACTTGACTTTTACTTTACCACAGCCCCAAAATAATTCCCAAGAAGCGAAGGGATTTGCTTTAGTGTAGCTGAGATTAGAAGCTAAGCTATCATTCCCAGACTCCAAATAGAAAAAGAGATCCAGTCTTTAGACTTTGTATTGAATGACTCCCATGTGCTTGGGAGTTAGAAATTTTCTTTGTTGAAAATGAAGTGTACTCCTCGTGGGTCAGCTTCAGAATTGTTGATGCTCTGCTTGTTGAGTGTGTCAGCTAAGCCCTCAGGTCCACAGAGAAAAACACCTATTCTGGAGCTGCCAGAAAAAAGAAAATATGGTCAGGAACTAGGTATGGAGCAGATGGATGTTCTTTATGTAAAACAATCTTATATTGTTCTCCACATATGTTCTGTAGGACAAGTTGTTTTGTTGGGTATTTTTTCCTCCATTGCTGGAAAAAGAAGCAGGACTGGATATCTACCCCTTAAAACTTATAACCCCTTAAAACTTGCAAGGCACTAACTACTGTGTCTAAAACAAATGGTAGGCTAAGTCTCAGCTCAGCAGAAGTCAGTGAAGACAGGTTTACTGACTTCAGTGGAATCAAGGAAATACTAGAGCTTCAAAGAACTTACAGCCCATATTCTTTAAAGGAACTGGTCTGTTTTTTTCCTACTAATTTTGGGTGCCCAACTACCCATACTCAGGTTTTATTTTTTTGAGGTAGAAAGTATTTTGGAGTTATTTAGATATCATGTGATATTCCTATCTATTTGAGCTGGAATGATGGAGTATTTTTTTTCTGAAGCTTCTGCTAGTAGTTAGACACTCCATGAAGTACCTCACCAAAGAGGGATTTTTAAAATTTATTTTATTTTTAATTGTAGGTTAAAAAAATTTGGTCAAGACCAGAAATCGTGTCCATGGTGGAAACACAAATAGAAAATACCTGGAGATTGTTAGGAGGAAGACAAAAAAGTTCCTCAAACTTTAACAGCCAAAGGAAAAAATGTTGTGCTATTATGGCATTTAGATAGAGGAAGACCAATTTATACAGCTTTACCCAGGATGCTTCCCTGCAATAGTTTTGAACTCATTTTCCCAGTTAGGTCTTCCATACAGGGTTTTCTGTTTAAGACCTGTAATCACATCTTTCTCTTCTTCATGGTGCACTGCAAAATGAGTGGCCTGTGGGAAATAAAACACAAATGACAGTGTAAGGAGAGTTAGATAGGGCAGCATTATGTCTTGTTAAAAATAAATAAATAAAATAATATAATAATGTCAATACACAGAGAATTATTTTCAAACCGAGAATGTAGAATTGATGGTATTTAGCAAAGAAAGTTAACATTGGTAAGGTCCTGACTATCAGTGTTTAACTATTCCTTTTCCCCAGATTGGTCAATCTCAAGAGTTAAAGCTCTGAAGCATTCAACACAGCAATTAATTGTGTTTCTTCTACACCTAACTGGTTTAGTCTAAGAACTGTTAAATAAAGCTATAAATTAAATAAAAAATTCCCCTTAGGTACAGTAATACAGCTTCCTTGACTTTAATGAAGTCCTGCCAGTTTGATCTCTGTAATGTTTAATTCATATGAGGAGGTCTTGTCCACCCTCCCTGTTTGACATACACCTAGATTTGTTAAGAAAAGTAGAACCAGGAAAAGGAGAAGATGTGGTTAAGGTCATAAGTTCAGGCCTTGAAGAGTTCTGCAGCACTTTTATATGCCAAAAATGTTACCGATAACTTTCTCCCCAAGCAAGAATTAAGTGACTTTTCTTCTTTCCTTCCTGTTTTTTCCATTGCCTGTGTGATAACTATCTTATTCCTTCTTCTCCCCATCTGTCTAGCTAAGCTACAGCATTTCAGGCACATGATATATTTTGCAACAGTGAAATATCAGTAAAATAAAACATCACTAGAAGTAACAGAGTGAGCACCTTTCCTGACTCAGTGTCCATTATCAAGTGACTCATAGAAGAATTTTGTATCTCCTGCAGTGAGCTACATGCATGGGGTCAGATAGAGAACGCAGAAGAGTCCTGAAACAAATATGCTGCCATTGCTCACATCTCATGCGTTAGCTTCTCCACTCCCAAATGCTGTTAGAGATATGTTCACGGTCAGCTGAGGCTGCTGCTGTGAGGAAAGGCTGCTTCCCAGAGAGCACAGCGAGAGTAAACCAGAAGGGAAGTCAGAGTGCATGTTAGCAGCTGACCCCACATAATTTCTGGTGGATGATACCTGTCTGCATTTAAAACCCCTGAGAGCCAGACAGGGGCCCAAGAAAAAAGCATTTGAACATTTATCAAAACATAACACACTAACATCAACCTTAATATTTTCCACTGTGTTGTTACCTGAGATTCATCCCAGCCTGTAAGGTAGATGTTATAGCTGAGAAACTCTGCATTATTCCTCTCCTGCATTTGAGCCTCCAGAGACTGCAAGAGATCAGCAAACCATTCAAAGGCATGAGTGTCCCTGCAAAGCCAGTAAAAATAGATCTGGAAGAGACAAGAGTGAGCTGTCAGGGCACACAGGCACTTACGGTTTCTGGTTTTCAGAGTTCTTGTTGAAATTGCCCTGACTGCTTCACTAGGTGGATAGGCTGGTATTGAAGCTATTCAGGAGTTCTGGCACTGGGAGGGTTGTGAAGCACAGTGATTGACTGCAAGAACAAGGAAACATCTTTCTACTTCTCTCTCACCAGTGGGTTACATTTTTAGTTCATGATATTTCCCCACTTACATACTTGTAGAACAACCTCTTAGGATATAAATTAATGATTTAGAGGTAGACTATCTCCCTATCTGCTGTCAGGCAAGGTAAATTAAAGCAGGTAACAAAGCCAGTTCTGTTCTCTGAAAATGACCAGAACTGCAGAGCGTGACCCCACACCTTTGCACAGGGAGTTTCCACGGGCAGGAGGCTAGAGGAGAGTGGCAGCAATGCTCTCTCTGTGCTTAAGGAAGGAATGCAATATTTGCCTGGGCCGTGTTAGTGCCTTAGATTTTGTGTTTCTCACTCAGGTGGAACAGCTTCTCCACTACAAGTGGAAATTCCCGGGGCCACAGTCAGGATTTATATGTATTATTTTGCTCCTAGGCTATTTCTCTTTTCATTATGTTTTTGCTTTTGACCATCCTGCTTCTCTTCCTGCTGGTCTTGTGAGGTAACTGGAGTCCTATCTTAGGAACCACACATTTCTGGAAGCAGATCACCTTTGCTGGGCCTGTTTTGTTTTGAGTTGTTAGCCCTTCAAGAATTGCATGGATTCTGAGAAAGAGGTGATGCACCTTTTTGAGTTTTAGGTTGGTGGCATCATGGCAATATTTGTACCAGACAGACTTGAGTACAGATGCAAAGGGAGTGACTCCTATTCCAGCTCCAACAAGCATAACAGTTTCATAACTGAATACATCCTCACTTGCTGTTCCAAAAGGGCCATCCACAGCTATCCTGAAATGGAAATAAAACAATAGTGAATATTTATTAGCACCTTTTAAAATAACAATTAAAAGGTAAGGCATTTGTCTGCTGCAATGCATATTGGGGTTAGCAAAAGAATAAGCAAGGTTGATAGGAGTAAACTGGAAAGAGCCATCAGAGGCCCACATCTATGATGGAAATAGTGAAGAATTGTATCACAACTGTTGAATTAAATTTAAACTGTCATAGGTGTTGGTTGACTTTACTGTGGAGACTCTTTGTACATACTTGGGCATCTTCCATGCCTCCTGGAATTCTTGCTTATCACATCCACAGGCATTGAACAGGCCCTCTGTCCAGTCCCCCACAATACGGACATGAATGCTGAAGTAATCTTCTTCTGGAGCAGAGGTTAATGTAAATGGATGCCATTCCAGTTTAGACACTGCTGGGCATTTGACAAAAATGTATTGCCCAACCTCCATCTTGAAGCCCTTCTTCATCATCTGGAGCTCAATTGTCTTGAAGGGATGAATGACCACCTAGAGAGAGAGGGACAAGGGTTAAGAAGGGAAAAAAAAAGTCTGTCTTCACTGCTCATTGAAAATACCTACATCCTTCACTAACATCAAGCTCAGCTGTGTGAGAAAGGAAAGCAGGAGAAACTTTGTTCCCAGCAGAACTGAGTGAGGAACAGCACCTGACAGTCAGATGAAAGACTGCAGAAGATGCAGAATTTTTGGCTGAAGTATTTTTTCACACCACACTTGGAGTTACTCCAACACGCCTGACAGGGACAGGTCAGAGAGGCATATCTTGTAACACATCACAAGATCTATGTAGGTACGTAGATGCATCTTACTTCTTACTTCTTACATCTTACTTCTAGATGCATCTTACACAGTGGCACAGAGCAGAGTGTTAATTAATTTGATTGTATATATGGGGGCAAAACCACAGGGATATCATACAGATAGGGAACTGGATAGATAATACTACTGGAAACTGATGTTTTCATGTTACATCTGGGTGGGATCTATAATATGGGCCTTTTCATTCTGCTTGTCTTTAGCAAAGAATGAATGTTTGTGCTTAGTGCCATGCTAATTTGGCTGCCAGACTTTCAGAACCAGCATTAATATCTCTGCAACACAACATGAGGAATGAAAGCTCAACATCAGCTTTGGCTGCAGAAAATAGGTACTTCCTAAGTCTCACTTCCAGGAGTCATTTTTTCTGCTGAAAAATTGAAATTCCTAAATCTCTAGGTAGTTTTGAAAGCAAAGATTTGGTATCTTAAGTACTCTTAAGGCTGTGGAATTTTTACATTGTGGAATTTTTCACTCAATACAGTTATTTTCTCTTTCCTAAGATTCAGTCCTGTGCCTTAGCTAACTTCCTCCTCTGTTTTAGGGATGGTCTACATTTAGATGATAAAGGTTAGCTTTTTTTTTTTTGCACGATAGCAGCCAGAACATTCCTGAGAGGCCTTTCACTGGTAATTTAGTCTGTCATGCAGGCGCAATTAGCTTTGCTGGACTATACGGAAAAACTGGTAATGTTTTGCCCAGTGTTAAGTGTAGCATCAACACATACCTTTGTGATAACAACCTTCTGCTGTGACCTCCAAAACCGCACCAACCTTTCACACAGGTACAAAAACATGGGACCTACTACCCACTTCCATGTCTGTAAGCAGAATGAGAAGCCAGATGATGAAGATGGCAACTTAGAATAAATAGAGTCCTGGAAATGCTATGAGCAGATGTGAAATTCTGATAATGTTGGTTCTTTATCAACCAAAGAGACATGACAACTTCAAAATAACATTTGGTCAGAGAGGGAATTTCTTTCTCTGTTGAGATTTGCAGCTGGCTTTATAGTTCTTACTAGAGTTACAGCAAGATATTTTCGCGTGAGTGATTTTGTCTCTGTCAAAAAGTCAAGGTAACTAAATGCAATGTGGAGTAAAGCTCTGAATGTGTTATTGAGTCAGGACTGTATTACGTCAGGAAAAGATATAATTTCTGTTAAGAGATCACTGTGAAATGTGAATGATCGACCAGGCTGCTCAGTCAATGAAAGCTGAAGCTTCAATATCACTTTTCCAGAGGCTTTAATTTTCTGTTAATGATCATTAGTCCATCAATAATGTGAGACTATTTATTGTGTGGATTACAACACTTCCTAGAAATCCCCATAAGCCACACAATACATTTTGGGTTAACAATTCTCAGGTGCAGTTTGCTCTTTTTCTTTCCCTGTTAATCATGCTCTTTTTATGGCACACTGGAAATGGGTTGTCCCTCTGTCTGTAGTCCATTATGTTGAAATCTGCTGATTTATGTGAAGAAAGCTGCAACTGAAGAGCACTGGGGGTTACACAGCTGCTTTTCAACAGCAAGTGCATATGCTCTTTAACAGAAAGAGTCAAAATGTAAACATTTTAAACTGGATTTACACACAAGAATCCTGTTCTTACCATAGGAGGATTCCCTGAAAACTGGGGGATTGGGCAAGCACCCTTCTGTCCCCAGTGAGTGAAGTTCTTGTAGCAAATCTTTGGATCATGTTCAGCCAGGCTCTCATCTGTCTGCCCCCGTACAATACGCCTGGAAAAAAAAAACCAAAATCATTAAGGCAGTGAAATTAAAATGAAGGCATTTATCCCTTATTGTTATTCTACTTAAGTAGATTTAGTTATTCTATTGTTATTCTTACGTTGTTATTCTAAAGCTTTGATAGCACTTAACAGCTCTCATAAACCCACAAAATTGATATTAACATTATAAAAACGGGGAGGAAAGTTTGTAGTAGAAAATATTGACTACAAGATCAGGCAATGAACTGAGAGGTATGCCCATTCCCATTTCCAGATAGTAGCTGCAATAGGAAAGCTTCATTCTTTCAAGTTATCCTATCTTTTTTCTTCAATAAAAACAAAAGCTGGAGTGGGAAGCTAATCAATTTCCTAGTGACCAGTACACAAATTATTTCTTTTGTTTACCTTAGAAATCTGGGGAGTCCTCTCCAACATACATTCTTCCTTTGAGCCTCCCTCTCCCTCTAAAGCTGCAGAGTAGCTGTTCAGTTGGTGTGAGTGATCACAGATGCTTCTGACACGAAGCAGCTATGCCAGCTATACTAGCTCATGGCAGCTGATGATCTGGCCTTTTTCTTGCTTGGTTAGGGTTTGTTGCTGCTATTTGTTTTATTATAGAGAAGCTTGTCTGCTCCAGTTCAGTTGTGTTTCCAGAGGTAGAGCTAGTGCTGAAGGACAGTTTCAGTTTTGAGGGGGGAAAAATGCATTCTGATCTTGTTCCTATTTCCTGCCTCTTACTGGACTTGTGACAACAACAGGGGTGTGTGAGTTTCCCCCCACTTATGTTAATTAGTAGGAGGAGGGTCATAGCAGAGAAATTCAAATTAAGATCTGCTGATTTCCCCTCAAAACAGTCTGATTTTGATCACATGTTCAGTTTTATGCCAAGGTGATTCTGTTGTTATCTTCTTCCCATGACTTCTCTTTCTGCTTTTCTAGCTCACTAGGCTATATTTCTGACTTTTCAAAAAATGTGTTGTCTAAGTCATGTGTATGCCTAGCTTTAAGTGATAGATTTCAGGCTGGAGAATTGGGCAGGGAGAAACATGAAGAAATTCAACAAGGGCGAGTGTAGAGTCTTGCATCTGGGGAAGAGCAACCCCAGGTACCAGTACAGGTTGGGGGCTGAACTGCTGGAGAGCAGTGTGGGAGAAAGGGACCTGGGGGTCCTGGTGGACAGGAGGATGACCATGAGCCAGCAATGTGCCCTTGTGGCCAAGAAGGCCAATGGCATCCTGGGGTGTATTAGGGTGTGGTGAGTAGGTCAAGAGAGGTTCTCCTCCCCCTCTATTCTGCATTGGTGAGGCCACATCTGGAGTATTGTGTCCAGTTCTGGGCCCCTCAGTTCAAGAAGGACAGGGAAGTGCTTGAAAGAGTCCAGCGCAGAGCTACAAAGATGATGAAGGGAGTGGAACATCTGCCTTGTGAGGAAAGGCTGAGGGAGCTGGGTCTCTTTGGTTTGGAGGAGACTGAGGGGCGACCTCACCCATGTTTATAAATATGTAAAGGGCCAGTGTCAGGATGATGGAGCCAGGCTCTTCTCAGTGATGTCTAGTGATAGGACAAGCAGCAATGGGTGCAAACTGGAACATAGGAGGTTCCATGTAAACGTGAGGAAGAACTTCTTTCCTGTGAGAGTGTCAGAGCACTGGAACAGGCTGCCCAGAGAGGCTGTGGAGTCTCTTTCTCTGGAGGCATTAAAAACATGCCTGGACAATTTCCTGTGTGATGTGTTCTAGGTGATCCTGCTCTGGCAGGGGAGGTTGGACTAGGTAATCTTTTGAGGTCCCTTCCAACCCCTAGGATTCTGTAATTCTGTGATTTATCGGGGCATTCTTAGAAAGTCTGTATATGGTCTTAAAAGTTAAAAGATTGCGCTGCTCATAAACACTACTAATGAATCTCTTCCTCATTAAAGTTTTGGTTAACATCCTGTCTGAAAAATAAAGGGAACAAACAACACTGTCCCAGGAGCATCACGAGTTGCAATTTGCAGGAACAACACCAGTTGCAACACCAGATTCCCCATGAGTGACAACGGGTTCAACTAATCCGCCCTCTGGGATGAGTTATGGGAACAGGAGGAGCCCATTTCCTGCCCCATTGCTTAAGGGCAAGTGGGCCTGAGAGTTGTTGCCTTGCCCTGTGTTCCATTCAAAGTCTGACATTGCCAGTACCCTGTACAAGAGAAAGGGACTTATTTTTCCTTACTACTCTGTGTAGATGCTCTTCCAGTACTGTAATTAAGCTTTCAGTAGTATAGCCTCCTAACTACTTACTTTTCAGCTGAAAGTTTTACTTTAGCTTCCAAAACAGGGTGATCTGAATCTCTCTACTCTTTTGTCTTTGCATCTACTATGGTGGGAAGTTTGTGACATCTGTCTATGACACATAGCTCATGCACAAAAACCATCAGTGCTACAAAAGGGCTGTTACAGTTTGCAATGGACAAGAATCTGTCCCTTCAACTCTTAATCATCTTTGGTTCAGTTTTCTGTACGTACACATATGTATGTATGTAAATATACATATGTATGACACACAACCTTCTGTCTCCTCAGATAAACTGACATCTATGCCTCTCTCTAACCTTACTTTGAGATTGTCAGGTAATACTTAACCCATAATATCCATCTTTATACACCTAAGATGCTTTCCTTGAGTGTAAAAAGCCCGTTGAATATTTTTTAGTGTGTTACTGTTTTCTCTAAGCTTAAAATGTAATTTTTGCTTTTATGGCCAAATATGTGAGGCCATACAGTTCACAGCCAAGAAGCATCCTTCCCTCTACAGAAAATAATATTCCTGTATTTATCTCCTTCCAAAGAATAGCTGAACTCCTGTGACAACCATGTTAAACCCCACTGCTACCCAAACTCTTGTGTTCTCATTACAGTGCAATTGAAATAGTGGAAGTGTACTAAACATTCAAGTTAATAAAAGGTCAACTTTTATGAAATATATGTTCCTCAGTGACCTCTAGAAAGAGCCTTGCTTGCTTACTGATAGCACAGTGTAGTAACTACTGGCAAGTTTGGATATTTTGTCAGTAACTGTGCAGTATTTGCTGCAGGCAACAAGAACCCCTTGTTCTTTTCCCTCAACAGGTTTTGCTCAAAACTCCTTGTTTAGGAAGTTGGAATGGACAAATATGCTGGTGGAGATTCTCATCTGCCTTCTATTTTTGTTCTTCCTGTTGTGCTCTCATTTGTGGCTTTTTTTTTTTTTTTTTTTTTCTGGCACTACTGGACTGTAAGGAACTGGTTTTGAATAGTCAATTCTGTTGGGCATTTTAAAAACACACTTTCTAGTGCACCTAGAATTTCCTTTTAAAATGGACAATATAGTATAACTATAAACTATGAAACGTGGCTTGGATACTTTAGCTTTTTGTTGTTGTTTTATTTCCCCTGTGGTTTTATACATGGAACTAAAGTTCATTTTTTTCTAAGTCTTAACATAGTGTTTACCTCGTGCTAAAATTGCTTCATTCTGCTTTTCAGGTATTTCAGAGGAAGGTATGGAATGAGCCAACAGTGGAAAAAGATGTTTGGCACTTGAAAGTTACACAAGCTTACAGTTGCCTATATTTGAGCCACAACAGCTAAAATTGTGTTCTGAAATGCTGCTGATATTAAAAGTTCATCAAAGTCTGAAAGATATGTCTGTGTTGTTACAGTTTTAAGTTACCAAACAAAATCCTAGACTCTGTATCATTTTTATGCTGAGGTCTACTTACATGCATGTGTGTGAAGCAATTCCTCTTAGGAGAGAAAAATCAACTAAAAACAGGAACAGAAACCTTGTAAAATAAATTTCCAATTAAAATACCAGAAGTTGAGTATCAGTGAGCTTAAGTGTGCCAGTCTCCTAAAGCTCCATGCATGTGTATAGCTTGTTGCATGTATCAGTGAGAGCTTCTTGGCTCTCAGAGCATGTACTGTTCCATCATTACCATAAAAAATAACTGCTGCTTAGTGACTGAAGTCCCTACACTTGTGTGTGTAGAGAGCTTTAAATTAAGATATAGTAGTTATCACGTATTGTGTGATGTGTGAATACTCACCCAGCACCGTGGATGACAAGACCAATAAAGAAGATGACAAAGAGATGGTGGGTGTACCAAAATACTTCAAAATATGACCTTCGGATGGTTTTGGTGGATGATGTGATGATTAGTATGAGTGCCAGTGTGATGATAACGCCAGTGAGACCAGCTAAGTACGTGAAAGCCACATATAGGCCACCCACAGGATTCTGTGAAATAAATGCACACATTGGTCTAAGGAAGGGTTTGCACCAAAGCAGGGCCAGCTGAACCATCAATCTGTCTCACTCACCAAATCCTCTACCTTGTTTAAGTCATCGTCTGGGAATTTGTATGTGAACAATGCCAAAATCCCACTCCATTTTTGTTACACTGCAGATTTACCTTCACTACAGGAAGTGGAAGCAGAAAGAAAGGGTTTTCCACTGATTGACACACACTGAGCTCTGCCACTGCTCAGCAGTACAAGCTTGGGGAAGGTGAACATGTTAGCCCAACTCTGTTGGCAAGAGCTGGTGTCCTACATCCATATTAAAGGAGCTAAAAGAAAGCTCTCCCTTTCAGTGGAGTAGGGAAGCTAGCTGTGCATCTCGTAACTCACACAGAGACTGGAACCTCAGGGCTTCTGAGGAATGGAGAAGTCCCCAACTTCATTTATTTATTTATTTATTTACTTATTTATCTATCTTTTCTTTAATCAGAGCTAAAGTGGTCCAAGTTCAAAACGTTTGCCCTGATTTCTGCGAACCTTTCTGTGCGCCACCTCTACCTTAATCAGAAGATTGGTTTACAGGGTATTTGCTTTTAAATAATGTTTTAAAACTTCTTTGAAATCCACAGGTGTAAAAGTTTAAAGTACTACCAAAATTCAGCAACAATATTACTGACAAATACAGAATAATAGATCATAAAAGGTTTTGCTGCAAGGTGTCCCAAACCCAGATTGTGCACACCAGAAATAGGCACCCTGCTCAAATAGTCTTATATGATCATCCAAATAAGTGTAATCATGATTCTTCACTGCATGATAATTACTTACTCACAGTTACTTACCACGATATTTTTTCTATAAAAGTTGACATAGCTTTCTTGTGGGTTATCACCAAGGCTAGAAAGCACAGCTGCCAGAGTTCCTTTCTCTTCAACACGGGCTTGCACACTCCACTCTACGTTGAATAAGTGTGCGATGGTGTGAATTGCTAAAAGTGACAGGGGAAATCATTAGGGTTAAGCACAAGACAAGTACTTAGAAATTTAGGATGACATCTGTATCTTTGGAACATTTGTCAACTGCAGCTTAAGTTCTTTGCCACTTTCACCCTCTTGCATTGAGAAGTGACAAATTTTATGAGAAGAAAAATAAAAGAAAACTTTTAGTTTAGGAAATGAGAGAGAGAAAAAAAATCAAAACATTTCCAATTACTTGTCCAAGCTTTTTATAACCTTTTCTTTCATAAAATCTATTATTTGTTTCAGACATGCCAGCTAAGAAGTAAGTCTAAACAAGAGTTAAAGCCAGGGTATCTGGTTCCCAGGGCATTGCAAAACATTCTTTATTAAGCAGTGTCATAAATGCTGCCAATGGTTCAAGAGAAAAGTATTTTTTTACTAATTTTATGGTCTCTTCCAGCTGCAGAATAGCATTTGGAAACTGATATAAGCCTTGACACACACTGATCCCTTTATGTTAATGATATCAGGTCTCTGCCCAGATTCTTAAGAACTTGAATCCCACCTTGATTCTGTGTAAAATGCACAAGAAAGCACTAAACAAAATAACATTTGAGTACTAACCAGTATGAAGTGCAATCATCCATGCCACCATTTTGTGAAAGGTGAGGTTCCTGTCCAGCTGTCGTCTGATGCGAGTAGAACAACACTTTGGATTTGAAGAAAAGAAGTATTTGACGACTATTTGTGATGTCTGTGCATGCTTATTTAAATGCAGGGGCAAAAACAGAGGCCCTAAGCACAACAAATGGTGGTGTTGCTAGTAAAAATCTAGAATTCCTAAGTACGGTAAAAAATATTTTCCCTCATACTTCAGAATATGAGAATAACAAATTATGGTTTAAGATGTCCCATTGAAACAAAATATTTGATAATGAAAAAAACCTTGAAAATACAGTATGAACAACACGTATCTCTTACTCTGTTCAATTACAGGTTATAAACAGAAGGAGGGATCACAGCCTACCATGGCAGGGTGACTGCTTTGGTAGAGTCACCTAGCATGAGGATCTTGTTGTGGTTCACAATGTAGAAAGTTTGGGCATAACTGTCTCAGGGAGCTCCCACCCCAAATGTGCTAGTCACTTAAGGTTAATAATATAAAGTGATTCCTTCCCCAAGATACTGGGGTATACTTGCTGGGACTTATCCAAAGAGAAATAAAAAACGGAAAACCAGAATTATATTTTCATTATGAATGATGACAGGATCCTAACACGTCCAATCTAAATTGTGCTCTAGTCAGTAAAGTTAGCATTTGTTGTCTCCACACAGCAGAAAAGCTGATTATCCCATGTTGTATCTTTGTATTGCTGAAAGCAAAAGGGAAGAAAACACTAATAAAACTAACACAAACATTTCCTCACAAGAGAAATATAGGGGTGTCACCCTCAGAGCTCTTAGCTTCCTCATACAGCCAAGCACTGCCACAATACAGTGAGCTGCAGGCAGGCAGCAGAAATGCAATTATAGCTCTTGGCATCGTTCTCATTTGTAACCTGGGTGTAGCCTGAGTGACCCTGCCACAGTGCCCAAGGCAGGAGACTTACTCTGTAGCTAGAATACTGAGATAAAAGGAACAGCTTCATTGAGTTCCTGGTTACAAAAGTTAAGGTATAGATGTTAGGAGATGAGCAATTAAAGACAAGTAGCACAAAGTCCCAACAGGAGTACAGTTCTCGACCCTTGGAATCAGTTGTTAGCCTTCCAGTAACATCTCCAAAAGTGTCTTCAGCTCTTTCATTGCTTTGACCTTAGAAAAGCCCAACCTGCTTTCAGCTTGACCCCCCCATGGCATCTATTTCAGACCTCATGAGGGCTTTGTGTGACCAAGAGCTCATCAATATTTTCCAGTTGCTTTCATCCAACAGGAACATTAAGCCTTACTAAATTTATGCTCATCAGTGACTTCTGAAGCCTGGGGAGTCATCTCTGAATTTTGGCATGTACTAGCTGATTTTTCTCAGGGCAGGGGAAGAACAACTTTAACCCTATGGTGTTAATGACAAGTCTTTTTTCCTTTTGCATGCATAGGAGGGTAAAGCTGTCTGCTCTTTAGCATCCCAAAATAAGGAGCTCAGCACAAGACTGAAAGCCTGGTCTGTATTGTTCCAACTTTGTATTTTTAAGGGTTATAACTTAACCAGGCAATTCTTAAACAGGAGCTTAATTTGTCAGACACATCTCGTTTATGTGCAACAATCAGCCACACTGATTGTCAGAATATTTGTAGTAGAGGAATGTACAGCTGGGGTTGTCTCTGCTTATTTTCTTACTGCTTTGTATCCCAGTCTCTTACCCCATGAAGGACTCTTGAAACACTCCATCTATTGTATTGTTTTTTTCTTTTGCTCTGCTCTTTCAGTCCCTGCAGGTTTTCACATTAGTGTGAAAGAATTTATACTAGATTTGCAGGTGAAAACCAACTTCTGTGAACTGATGTTGTTGACCACGTATGTATTAAAGAGGCTAGAAAGAAAGTGGGCTCATTATACGTTTGGAAGGACAGTTCCTGAGCTTGAGGAGACGATTGCTTTATTACTGCACCATGGCACTCATTGTCTGCATTATTTCTGCTGTAACAGTCAGAGATCATAGGATCAGAGAATCATAGAATGGCTAAGGTTGGAAGGAACCTTAAAGATCATCAGGATCCAACCTCTCTACTATGAGCAGTGACACCTCACAGTAGGCCAGGCTGCACAAGGCCTCAGCCAACCTGGCCTTGAACACCTCCAGGGATCTGGATTTAAGCAGTGTGGTACTGTCAGTGCTATCATAGAAAGCCTTTCCAGCTGTCCCCTAGAATCAGTTGTCCTTTTCTAAGTAGTGGTTCCTCAGTGCTGTATATAACATTTGCATTTGGGAGCTAGGAATGGTCAAAAGGCCTGCAAACTATTTCATCCTAAGATGGAAATGCAACTTGGACAAGAAAGAATGTAATTTATGAACCAGCTGAAAAAAAGTCCCATTCTGAAAGTCTGTGAAAGATTACCTTTATTTTGAGAACTGAATATTCAAGGACAGAAGACATGGTCTAATATCTCCTGCTACAGATGGCTGTTGTATCAGCAGCAAACAGAGCAAATGTGTGTAAGCACCACTTACAGCTGCTGCCAGCCAGAGGATGGACTTTGCACCCAGGGCAATGTGATGCCCAGAAGGCAAGAAAAAAGGGAAGACTCAAAGGAGGGGAATTCAAGGCTAAACCTGTCAACAGAGCTCTAGGCAGACCATTGCCATATTGACCTCAGTCTTGCTCATAGCAAAACTCCAGGCTTATCTGCTTCTCAAAAGAGGACATCCCCAAAGTACAGTATATTTGGGGAACTTGGATGAAGTTGCTTGGTGTATTTGCAAGGCTGCTGGGCTTATTATCTTTCATAAATTTTGAAATTCTTTCTTCATCTTACCGCACTTGATCCTCTGAGGAAGGAGAGCAAGTTTCGACATACAGGCAGCAGAATCAGCATGCAGTTAAAATTCAGGCAAGCTGCAGGAGCCCTTGCCAGAGCCAAAGCACGCTGGAATTGGAGAGATACCATTATTAAATAAATTAACTAGGACATTATCCAGGACACGGATAGACACAGATTTCATTTACGTATTATACCACAACTCTTCATGAGTGTGAGATCTTTAATTCACATTTCAGAGTAGTCATGTTCTGGCCCAAGTCAGAGGCATGTATGCAGACAGTCCACATTCCTCCAGATGGGAGGAGTTCTAATTTTGCAATAATATGGTTGTACAAAATGCTCCCTGTTGTGTGTGACAATCAACGGCCAAGCACAGATGCAAGTCTAAGCCATTGGTAGAGTTTTCTGTCCCAAGGCTACAAAGCAAGTCTCACTGCTGTGGCTTCAGTTAGCTGAGGGACTACGGTAGAGAAAAGGACAGCTTATGAGGGAAGTGGTTTCATGTTCTCTGTTTTCAGTATAGGCAGTCTAGGGAAATTTGTTGCCTCATCTTTTAGGAATATGTTCCCTTTAATGATGCTCTTCACATACTGAATTATTTCAGATTTTGACAAAGACTGAAAGGAGGAGAAAATGATCATATTAATCCAAATATACTGAAGAGAATGAAACAATAATGTTTGTTCTCCTTGCCTTGATTGGGACCCTTTCAGATTTGAAATCACAGTAACTGACTCAGGGTTACACGGAGATCTATTTATACAAACACAGGTCTGTGACAACAAAGGCAACTGCACCATGATTGCAAGGGACAGAATTTGATCCATAGTTCTGAAGCTATATGCAGAACAGTATTTCATGCTTTCTTGAACTGAAACATGGCTTTGCAAACTGCTTACAAACTGCCATATCCTGGAATTGGAAGCTTAAACTGATTTTTTTGAAATATGTGAACAAATTAATTTTCTCTGTCAATTGGTCATGACCTGTGGTAGCTTTGGAAGCAAGTCTGGGGTAGGACACATAGTGCTGCATTAACCAGTTGGGTTATATTGAATAGTCCAGGGTCTAGAATCACTTCAGTACTTGACAACTATTCACCCACTTGATAAATATATGAATGAAGATCCCTTTTAATAGCGAAGAGCTTTGTAAACTATTCATGCTATGAAAAATAATTGCATGGGGAAATAACTGCACAGTAGTTCAATGGCAATATTTTATTTGTCTTTTGCTTAACAAAGCAGTTGCATCATTAGAATGAGAACTCTCTATTTAGCTTACTAGCTTTCTGTTTAGAAGAACTGGACATCTGTCTGCATTCAGTTATCTGTTTGCATGTGATTTTTAATCCTGACATAAACCAGCTCCAACTACTCAATTCTGTTACAATAATACAAAACTAGGGGAAAAAATGCTCTGTACTCTTTCTATGCCAAGATAATGCACGTTTTGTACTTACGCCAAGGAGTACTCTGGTGTAGAAGAATTTTGGTGGGACATCATATACAAGATAATACCACCAAAAGAGGAAGACATTTAACCCCAGCCACACGAGCTGAAAGAGAGACAAAGAGGAATATCTGCAGTTTGTTATTAATCATACATGTGAATTTACATGGTTCAGATAATGGTCATTGTGCTTTTCTCTTTGCACAGAGAGGCACACTGCAGGGTATAAAGGGTTCAGTAGAGGCAACATAATTTTTTCTGGTGGAAAGGGTCTCTGACGTGTGCACACAGGAGTACAGGAGTGGCAGGAAACCAAAATACAGCTGAAAATTTTGCAAAACTCTGAGGGTTTAAATGTGTCGGTGTGGCATTTAGGGACATGGTTTAGTGGAGGACTTGGCAGTGTTAGGCTTATGGCTGGACTTGATGATCATAAAGGCCTTTTCCAACCAAAATGATTCCGTGATTCTATTAGGACCATCATATTACAGGAGTTTAGCTAAGTCTGCAAGCCTAGTGAAATCTCCAAACATCATGTAAGGTTAGGGCCTCTCTGAAATGGTTGTTCCTCAGGCATATTAACCTATGTAAGATGAAGACTTATGAGCCATGCCAAAGGACAAAGAAGCTTAGAGATCTAAACATAGATGGCCCTACGTTACACCTAAGGCCTAATGTTTTTTATTGAGTAGGAGGCTCTGATGGTCTGAAATTAGCCAACAGAAAATACTCAACACAGGCACTTTGATAGTGTTTAGACTACCTAAAACTGGGCTTCTTCATAGGTGTACTGCAGTTATCTCTCACACCTGCATACCTTACCAT